CATGTTTAATGTAAATTTCAGTTCCATAATTATTATAACTGTAATATTTGTTTCTTGAGAATTGTACTGATCATAATCGGCAAAAGTAGTAATAATTTATCGTATCATTAATATTATACATTTAAAAAGCGTTTCATTGGTTTTGCATTTTGCATAAATAATTTAATGTTAATCAGTGATTGAAACTTAGGTAGTGATGTTGCAAATGCGGTATTGGATGGCAGCGATTGTGTTATGTTAAGCGGTGAAACAGCGAAAGGGGACTATCCCGTATTAACACTAATAACTATGGGCAAGGTAAGCGGCAAGAAGATCAAAATAAAAGTTTATTAATAATATTTAGAAGTGCATTTGATGAGAATTAAAAGTTAATTAGTGCTAACATCGCATGTTTTAGTTATGTCTGGAAGCGGAATTGACCGTAAACTATCAAGAAGTATTCCGTGAGACTCTTCTTTGTCTGAAGAAACCATCAGATGTCACACATACGATTGCAATTGCAGCCGCTTCGGCAGCAATTTCATGCAATGCAAGTGCTATCGTAGTGCTAACTACCAGCGGACAGTAAGTATTTTGAGAAATTCGAATTCTTTTAACTTTTGAAAGGATATCGATTAAAAAAGAAGGTATTAAGCACGTAAATAGTGTAATTTCAACGAAGGAAATGTGGATCTTTAGGAATAAACAGTTTTGTTGTAGTTTGTTTTATACAATTTTAAAATGAGTTTAAAATTTAAATGATAAATATAGCTCCGCTGGTTTGGTAAGCCGTTACCGTCCAATGGCGCCTATTATTGCAATAACTCGAGAAGAGCAAGTTGCACGACAAATGCACCTATTTCGTGGTGTTCATCCAGTGTTTTATACCGGTTTGTTGACATACTTCGTTAATAAGTTGAGGTGATCAAGTAATTAGCTCCATTAGGTAAACAGAGATGTTTCTTTAATTTACCTTATCGATAGATATCTTCTGATTAATTGTCTGAACCAAAATTTTACTGATTATCGCATTTAATCTTTTCGATAGCTTTAAATAACTTTTGATATTTCAGAGCTCACTAGACAACTTTTCGCAGCTGATATGTTTAAAATATAAATCATTATTGTAGTACCAAAAAATGAGGATTGGAGAGCTGATATTGATCTACGAGTGGCTCACGGTATGAGAGAAGGACAAGCTCTTGGCTTTATTAAATCGAGTGATTTGATCATTATTGTCACAGGATGGTCCAAAGGTATTTATTATAGCTATTTTTGCTTGAGAGGAAGGAAAGAACAACAACCTTACAAAAATGATAGATTGGTAATAACTATCATTCCGACAGTGCAGATGTATTTGAAAGATATGTTAATGAAAAAGTCGAAACAAATTTTCTTAATATTTTTTGGAATAAAAACATTTTATCATTAAGAGAACGATTTTTGGAAAAACAAGTAGATTATATTTTGATATTGATAATTCTTATGCTTGCAATGAAAAATTATAGGATCCGGAAATACGAACACAATGCGCATTATCAGAGTACCATGAATTGATATCAAGCTGACCTCTAGCATTTCCAGCATTTGTCAGTAGAAACGCATAATTTCAATAAAAATATCTCTCGTCAAATATGAAATAAATTTTAGGAATACATTGAATTCACTCCGATTGCTTAATCGGAGTGAATTTACTGAAGTTTTTACTGAGCCGGAAATAAGTGAGAAGAGAGTGATAGCATGATTCATAATCTTAAAATATCACTTCAATTAGCAAAATAATAAAGCATGTAAAGTAGCAATTGATAACTTCACTGCACGTAATTTCATCCACTGATTTATGGGAAATAATTTAAGATAAGCGGCTTTTTGTGCAACAAATGAAAATGGCTAATAATGGCTTAACAGATGAAATTTTTATTTATTTTAGATCATTGATGAACAAATCAAATGTTTCTCATTCACTTTGTATATTTTACGATATTATGACAAAAAGATCAATCGCACACTTCCCCGCTCCACCTATTGAGAAACTCAGCCATAGTTAGGAAGTTCAGGAATTGGAAAAAGAGTTCAATGATTTTGCTATTCAAATTTCCTTCAATTTTTTGCATGGAATATTTTATTATTGCCCATTTAAAGTATACAAGATCTTATAGATTCATCATGTCCTAAATGCTAAACATAATTTAAAAATTTTTTGACAGAAATGCAAAGTTGATAGAAATATTTCTTCACTCAGATTTTATTTAAGCATCGAAGTGGGGTATTCATGATATTTTAAACAATTTTAAGAAGTTCTCTAAATTTAGAAAAATTCTTCAAATTTAAATTAAACCACTTTTGAAAATGAACGGAAGAAATTCAATGTCGCTGATTTACATAAAAAATTTATCCAAAATATTTTAAGATTCCTATGCTTTTTCTATCCATCCATCAATATTTTAAATAATCATTTATGCAAACATCTCTAAATAAGCTTTCTTGTTTAGGCGGATAGTTTTATGAATTCTTTTCTTTGTCTTTATTCAAATTTAATTGGGGTGTCCACATTATAACAATTCTAAACTCTGATCATCTAATCGAGGATTTTTTTAATTCCTTAAAGATGAAAACAGCAATCAGATTTTCACTTAACTCTTTTACTTTTACTGCTACCTAATTGATCGCCATAATCTATAAAAAGGCCATATATGCTATGAAATATCATCGATTGTTCGTATGATCAGTTGAAAAAAAAAAACACACTTCCTTATCGGTAATTCCTAAACGTTTACAGAAAGCCGTCATTGCTTATTAATTGAAGCTTTTTGATAATTATAGTTTGAATATATCGGTATTATGAAGAGGACATTCAATGCTCAATAGATCTGGCAAGAAATATCTAAAGCCGATTATGTGCTCTGTCATTATTGAAATATATTTCCATTCCTTTCTTATTTATAAATGTTAAAATTATTTGTACCTTTTGAAGTAATTTTTTGTAAAAAAAGAATAATTATATAGCTATTAGTAATTTAAAAATTCAATAAAACTAAAGAACGAGCATTTGTTATATTATTTTTCCTAGCGATATTCTCAGCAATGAATTTTGACATTTGTTGTGATATTTGATCTGCAAATATCTTTTGGAATTTGCATTGATTTACTTCATTGTTGAAGCACTTTGCAATTTGGCAAAATGCAATCATCGTTTTTCTTTTCTGTTTATCCACTTTATCCATTTCACATTCTTAAATAATTCATCACAACAAACTTTTGAATAAAATTTTGGATCTGATTTTTGCAGCAATCAAATCTATGATAAAATTTAGAGCTTTTTTAAAAATAAAACAGAATGAAATTACAATGAAAATGCATTGAGCTAATTTCACACTTAAAAATTTTCGAAACTGTCTTCCAAAAATTTCACTAGTCGAATGTCTTTTGATATATATCTGTTCTTTTCTTTCAGAGAGCAAATTCCTACGTAATTATTATTTTGATTAGAGACTTTTATCATTTCTTCCTTTCAAATATTAAATAGCACTAATGCAAGACTGGAGGATGTTTGAATTAAGATTCAGTGATATCTTCATGCCAATTATATCACCACTGATAATAACTGCTTGCCAAACAAATTCTTCATAATTAACCTTTGTTCTTTTCTGCTAGTAAAAACTAATAAATATTATTGCAAAATGTTGAAAAAAGAAACTTTCAAAAATTTTCTTCTTAATAAATAAATCAAAATTTCTTGAATGTATGAAATTCGTTAAGTTTTTTGTTTGTTATACAATTAATAAAAAATTAATTATTATTAAAAATCAATACAAAATGGATTATTTAATGCTGAAAAATGGGCGAAATGAAATTTAATGTGATGAAATTGTAGGAAATTATTATTCTTTTCAAAGATTTAATTTACTTAAAGTTAAAATTTTCAGAAGAAATGAAATGTTTTATTTAAGTAATTCAGTAAAAATGATTAGAATTTATTTTTTCATTTCAATAAAAAATCTTTTCCTTGAAACAATTTTAAAAGAAAAGTTAAATTAAGCATTATTATGATTCAAAGCAAATTAACTGCAATTAATCATTAATTATTAAAGTATAATGCAAAGGAATATATCATTTGTATGACAGTAACGTGAAGAAATTTTTAATTGTAAATTTAATACAAAACAGATTTCAACCTATTTAAATGACTAAAGATTTTAAATCAAAAACATAAACTAAGTTTGAAATTTCAAAAAAAATATCACTGCGACAAACGTTTATTAAGGAAACAATTCACAGTTAATGAAATAAGTGAACTTGAATCTTTTATTTGCAAGCGATAATCTGTTGTAATAAACAGATCCGGTTGGATTGAGAAGCAGAAATAAAAAGTATTTAGCAGAAATGAATGAGGAAAATGATGAATAAATATTGCGATACACAAATTGATACATCGATATTCTATTTTGTTGTATATGCGGAAAAGAAGGTTTCTCTTTTTTTAAAATTTTCCATCTAATCCATTCAATTCACTTCACTTCACTAATCTTTCCTCATAAAAGCGTGAATATTTCCCAAAATCAATAAGCCATACATTACCAGTACAATTTTTAACTTTTCATAATCTTATCTTAAATGGATTTTTATTAATACAAACCATTTGAAATAATAGCTTTCTATAAAATGTTACAATTTTTGATCTTTTACAAATTAAAAATTCATGAAATCTGAAAAAGCTTTAAATGAAGACTTTCTCATATGAAATTGGAATGGGAAGAAAAAGAAGTATAAGTTAAAATCATACAGTATTTCAAAAATGCTCGATAAGTTGTAATACTGAGAATTCTCGTCTGTTGCAGAATTTTTTCAATTTATTGTTGAATCAAGCTATTCTCTTGTTGATCTTTTCTTTCTTTCTTTTTTTAAATATTTCTCATCAGCTATTTTATTTCTTTTCCCAATATTCTTAACCAAAATATCTATTAGTGATAATTTGAATAATCATTGAGAAGCAGACTGCCAGTATGAAAGGATGAAATGAGTTAGGGTTAGATTTGCGGAGTACATCAGTAGTTAAAACACTTGACCCTATGATCGAAGCTTCTTTTATCTGTACTTATTAGTATAACAAGAAATCTGTCAACTTCTTATTATTCTTTTGAATACTTTCGAAAAATTGAAAGAAAAATGTATATAATTTCTCTAGAAGATAGCGTTTCATATGCTCAGAAGGTTAAGACTTATCAACTTCAGGATTTCAGATTTTCCGGTTTTTTTCCGTGAGTTTTTTTTCGTTAAGTTATTAAGAGAATGAATGAATCATTTAATGGCAATTTTATGTTTATTTGATGCCTATCGTGCCTTTCGTCAATGCTTCCAGCAATCAAGCAGTGAGGAACAGTTGTTGTGCGATGTTATATGTTTAAGGTATTTCTCCAATATTTTAGTCTCTCTCTATAAGAAAGGGAGGGAGGGAAAGAAAGAGAGAGACTTAAGTATAAAAGATATTAAGAAGAGAGATGGATAGGATAGATAGGGAGGAGGCGATCGAATTCAACTTCTTCCTTTCTATTTGCTGCTTCTTTTCAATCACAATTTTCCTTTCATATCTACAAAATTTAAGCAGAATGGCGCAAAAGTGATGAGAACTACGATTTTCACTCTTTACGACGCTGGCAGAAGTTATTTTTGGTTCCAAAAATCATAAAATTTTTGAAAATTTGACAAATATTCCATTGGATCTAGATTTTCTTTCACTTAATTAAACCACTCATATGTTTCCAATGATTTTCTTTGAGATAAAGTTTAGCAATATGTTATCATAAAAAGGATACTAAAAAATTTTAATTTACCTCTGCGAATTGACTTAATATTTCACGATGTTTGCTATCAAACATATTTTAATTGGAAAAAAGTGCAAATGACCGAAAAATTTCACGAAGATAAAAATTGCATGCTTGATAAAGGGACAATGTCCAATAAGTTTAATCATGCTTTATTCCTTCCATTTCTTTTTTCCACAACATTTTGTAGAAAGGGAGAGAGAGAGAAAGGATGAAAAGAAAACTGCTAAGTGTTGTTTATCGAAAATGAATGCTTTAGAGGAATACAACAATCCATTTTACACCAGATTCTCTCTTTTAAAGAAATTCCATCCTCCACATATCTCACATTTTTTCCATCGCTTTAGGCATAAATTTATTTTAACAAATCCTATTCGATCCTTTCACTAATCATTTTCAAGAATAAACTTAACTATCATTCAGTGTTCTATTGATATTGCTAGAGTTTTCACTTCTCTTTTTTATTTTATTCTATTCTATTTTATTTTGGTATTAGATTCTATTTGTGACAAGAAATACAAGAATATTGTCTTTGTAGAGAAAGGGATTTTAAATAAAGTTCATAAATGGGAAATATTGATTTAGCCTCGGATTAGATTGATTTCGAATTAAAAAAAAGCGAACTAAAGTTTATCACGTATAAAAACATGCTGCCAAAATTCACTGAATTCTTGATTGATGATAGGATTAAATGATTAAAATGCATTTATGCTAAAAGTTGACATAACTA